CATTGAGCTGGATTTGGGCATGGGAGAAGTGGTCCCAGGGTCGGGGCTGATCCCTCAGCTTACCCAGTGAGTATGGACAAGTGTCACCTGGCTGCCCTGTGAGGAGGAAATGGTTTCCACCTGCCTCAGAGTCAAATGGAGTAACTGAGGTAAATTAGTTAGTTCAGTTCTAGAAGGTCCCCAATAATTGGTGGTGACTTTTTAGCAGTGTGGTCTCCAGACAAAATAGAGATGTATGGTTTCTCACTTGAGTTTTAATGAAAAATAATTTTGCTGTGAAAAATGAGAGTAGATAAAACATCCCAGGCTTCTTTCCCCTGTTTTAATGAATCGAGGATATACCAAATTCAGTTTTTTTTTTTCCAGAAATGATCCCAAAGGACTAGTAAGCTTGATTTATGTTTTCTTTACCAGTCACTTTTATTCCAAAAGCCTGACATTTCCATTAAAATGCTATTAAGTAAAAACAGGATTTTATAGTATTTGTGATGGCTTGGGTCTCGGTGTGATAATTGCAATTATTTCCAGCAACGATGCCATCCCTCATCCTTTTATTTCCTCTTATGCATCAGCTGCATCTTTAGTGCTTCCCAGGTGAAGAAAACCACTTCCCTCGGAAGCTGGAGCTTGGGGTCTGTGAAGGGACGTGGGCGGCAGGGACGGCAGCCATGCAGAGGCACGGAAAGCCTTGGAGGAACAGTGAGGTGCATGCTGGGTAGCACCAGAGGCAGGATGGACACAGAGGTGTCCCTGGGAGAGTACACCCTTGTCCAGCAGAGCGTCACTCGGAAGACCTGTCTAGTCTGTGCATGCTGGAAGGAGGTGATGAGATCCCCACCGCCGTGGCAGGTCAAACTAAGGCTGCCACCCTGACCACGTACTGTTTAAACAGCCCGATGCTACGTAGGTCCAGTCCTGTCTACCCAGCTTAAAATTTCTTCTCTGAAATGACGTTGTTGTGAAATGTTCTGGAACTAGGTGGCAGCAATGGTGATAAAGCCTCATGAAAGTCTTGATTACCACCAAACTATACACTTTAAAATGGTTTAAACGGTGGCTTTTAGGTATGTTTCACACAAGAACAAAGAAAAAAAATCCCTGGATGGAACGATCTCCAAAGCCACTTCCGGCTAACACGGGTGTGACATTGACCCTTAGGGGAGGAGGCACATCACCCAGGGAGGAGGCTGAAGGCCGGCCTCTGCTAGGCAGGAAGGTCATTTGGCCACTAACTCTTTAACAGAGGAAGAACTGTTAACCCCGGTCTAGTTTCACTTAATCCAGACTATGTGTGTGTCTGTGAGAAAAATGTTTAGGATGTGCAAAAAGTTTAAACCACACGTCCTGTCATCCTAACTTTAACTCTAAACATTTAGGGCCTACGTTTACATTGTGGGGTAAGGGACCATCTTAATTTCTTTATACTTCTCTCCAAAGGGCTGCAAAAAAAACTTAAATGACTTTCATAAATCTAAAACGTAAAGTTCCCACCTGAAGATGTGGCTCAGGGCGGCGGGCCCATCCAGCTTGACAGCAGGCCCTGAGTTTGATCCCCAGCACCACCTAAAAGCGGAGGTGGCAGTGCATTCCCATAATCCCAGCCGTGGGGAGGTGGAGGCAGGAGGATCCAAAGTTCAGGCACACTCTCAACTTGTACCATATGAGACCTCGCTTTGAAAAAACTAAAGGCAATCGATTTTTAAAAGATCTTTTTAAAGGTTAAACAACGGTGTTCGGAATTCTGTGGCCCCGGCGTGATCCATGAATACTTAGAATAAGGGTGCAATAAGACAGAAAGAGCGATGGAAGACTGATGTACCCAGAGAGGTCATGTGCTCAGCCTCAGTCTCCCTACCCGGAACAGGGCTGTGGGCACAGGCCCTTCCACAGGGGCTCTTGGAGAGCAAGAGTGATACCACCTGCAGGGCGGGCTTGCTGACTGGGTGTCACCTGAGCTATTTCCACCCCTCCCCATATTCACACCTCACACCTCCCAAACGTCCCCTTAAGGAACTTCCTGAGCACTCTGCCATTTAGGGCTTATTTCTGTTTAGAGTGTCAGTTTGCCCTGCCCCCATTTTTCTTTCTACAGCTGTCATGGGAAATACACTTCATTTCATGTGAAAATAACCAGCCGGCTTTTATTTACTGTCTAAAGTTCAAGGTGTCGGTGACAAAGCCATATCTGCTTCAGGAAAATTGCGCCTCTCCTCAGGAATCTGATCTACATGCGCAAGAGAGAGCGTATTTCAACCCAGATCCTCCATGGCATTAAACTTTGAAAGAGATTCTTCCTTCGCTCTGCTCTACTTCTGTTCTCCTGCCCATCCTTGCTCACTGAGTCTTGAGTTAGGATCCATTTGAAAGAAACTGTGACTAGGCCTTCTGGAACTTTCCACCCATGTCTTCTTTGGAGGTTGGCTCCTTGGGCTGCTATGAGAACAAGTCCAATTGGGAGGAGCTTTCCAAAATGATGTTTGTCTCCCGAGCTTCTTTCTCATTCCCAGGGGCTTATGGGATAGGAAGCATTGTGACTTTGGTACTCTTCTTGTCAGTTTACGTCATTGTTAAAAGCAAGCTTTCTCAATCTTAATCAGGGTTCTATTGCTGTGAAGAGACACTATGACCACGGCAGCACTTAAAAAGAAAAATGTTTAATTGGGGCTGGTTTACATATTATCAGCATGATGAGAATCATGGCAGAGCCTAGGCAGACATGGTATTAGAGAGGCAGCTGAAAGTTCTACATCTGGATCTGAAGGTGGCAGGAAGAGAGAGAGAGACACTGGGCCTGGCTTGGGCTTCTGAAACCTCAAAGCCCACCCCCAAGTGACACACTTTCTCCAATAAAGCCACACCTTCTAATAATGCTATTCCCTATGGGTCTTCAGGGGCCATTTTCATTCAAACCACCACACCATACAACAAATGAAAACTGCCTCCCCACTCCCTACACCCAGGAACTAATTACTACACACCACATCCTACAGACCTGAGCTGGCTCGTGCCTTCAGTGAGCTCACAGAACCACTTCGGTGAACCTCTGCAGTGTGTAGGGAACAGGGAGATGTGTCCAAGCGGAGGAACGGGATGTGAAAGAATGTCATTGGTGTGGCCAAAGAGACATCTCAGAGTGGGGGTAAAGTAGTATAAAAATGTTCCACACAGCCAGGTGGGAGAAGCAGGGACAGGGACATCAAGAGGACCAGTGCAGGACTACCTGGAAGTAGGAGTGTTGATACAAGGCCATTTCTTAAGTGAAAGGATCACAAGCCGCCTGGATTGAGCTTAGCAACCTGTGAAGCCTTGAACTTCCCCAGGTCAGGGATTTACTGACCAGGCCCAATGTGTTCAGGGTCTGGTCTTAGGAATGGCCACAGAAGGTGGCAGACGCTCCTGGTTCTGGGTGGGACAAGAGCCTGGAAAGGATAGAACTTGACGCAGAGAGAGGCACTGAGTGAGAGAGGGAGCTGGGAACCCAAGCGCATTGACTCTTGGGTTCCAGATGAGACTGATAGACAGCAAGGTAGAGGGGTGGCCTTGAGCCTAGAAGAGAAGGCTGTGCCTGGCCAATATGGGACTAGAAACAAGGAGGCCCGGGAAGAGAGTGGAAATGCCAGGAAGAAGCACCTGCCTCTTAGACAATCAGGTATACTGGTTGCCCTGGGCCACACATGGTGCCACATGCCCATAACCCCAGCACTGGGGAGGAAGCAACAGAAGAATGGTAAATTCTAAGATACCCGGGCTACGTGGTAAGTTTGGAGCCAGCCAGAGTTACACGGTGAGACTTTGTCTCAAAACTGAAAATAAATAAAATGAAAGCCACTCAGGTACCAAGCATGGAGGATAGGAAGAACAAAGGAAACACGCTATGACACTATTAGGAAGTGTGGCCTTGTTGGAGGAAGGGTGTCACTGGAAACGAACTTTGGAGTTTCAGAAGCTCAAGCCAGGCCCAGTGTCAGTTGCTCTTCCTGCTGCCTGCTGTCGGATGTAAAACTCTCAGCTAACTCTGCAGCATGTGTCTGCCTGCATGTCATCATGCTTCCCACCATGATGATAATGAACTAAACCTCTGAACTGTGAGCCAGCCTCAACTAAATCCTTTCCTTATAAGAGTTGTCATGGTCATGGTGTCTCTGCCCAGCAATAGAACTGCTGACTAAGACACTTAGTGCTATGGTCCAAACAGGGAGAGCACTGGCCTGTGGGAGCTGGTTTGGGGATGAGAGTGACAGCACTGACCATGGAGACAGAGGAAGAGCTGGCATGTCTTATGAGCTTCCCCACCTGGGTAACTGGTCAGTATCTGGTAGCGACACGCCAAGGAGATGGGGACCCAGACTGTGGGTGACGGAAGTGTTGTGTCATGCAGGAGGAGAGGGGAGAGAGGCCATTCCCAGCTGGAGGTGGGCAGGCAAAAATCTGCAGCTGCTCACTTTCTTGGTTATCAGTATAATTTCAGAATAAAGCACAGAGGCTAAGGAGTCACAAAACTCATCATTTTTCTGTACGAGCTCCAAGGAAGCAGTTAAGCCAGAAAATCGTCTGTGTCCCTGGGACCGGGCATAGAAGCGTCTTCCCAAGTTGTTCACGGCACTGAGCCTATGGCTTCTTGCCAACCCTCAATGAGATTTTTCTATTTCTTAATTATTCCATTACTACCCCTAAGTAGGAGTTTGACATCAAACCCAGACTGCTCAGAGTGGCGTACTCCCTTGTATCATGAGCAGGGCAGAGGAGATCTCCCATCCTGGAAGCCAGGCTGGCAGGATGGAGAAGGCCTGTGTTTCCAGTTCTAGTTCCCCCCTACGCTCAAACCTTGGCTTTACTCAGCAGAAGCTGTGTGAGCCCAGACAGGCACTCCTCAAGAGGCCGTTTTTCTAGTCTATAAGATAGAGACAGTTTAAGGCCACTCCCCCAGAGCTACTGCACACCTCCGGGGACAGAAGCCACTGGAGGAAGGCAGTACATCATGAGCGCCTTGTGTGTTTCAGGTCTCAGCAGCCGGAAAAGCTTTTCACTTCAAAGGAAAATCTGGACTATGACCTGAGCGGCGACCCCAACTCCAGCCCTGATGCCCACCTGCCCTCCATTTGCCTCAAGCAAGTGTTCCCCAAGTATGCCAAGCAGTTCAACTACCTGCGCCTGGTCGACAGGATGGCCAATTTGTTTATCCGATTCCTGGGGATCAAAGGGACGATGAAGTTGGGACCAACTGGCTTTCGGACCTTCATAAGGTTAGTGAGACCAGCTTCCTCCAGCTTGTCACTCATCCGGATGGTCACATGGCCCTTGAGCCCTCTGGAAGACCGTAGCAGGGAATCAGTCCCCTGTTTGAGGCTCTATTCACCTCGGGGCTGGCACTGCTCCTGCCATATTGTAAACTCTTGTCAGATGAGTTAGTGAATATTATGACCATGACAGTTAAACAAGTAGTTTAACTGAGGGAGATGATTTAACAGGTGACACCGGATGTACAAGCCTGAGGGCCTGAGTTCAGACCTCCAACACCCACAGAAAAGCCAGGCGTAATTCCAGTGCCAGGGATGAGAACGGGGCAAGACAGAGGTGCGAAAATACAAAACTTCAGGCTCAGTGAAGAGCCAGCCTCAAAAATAAGGTGGAGCACAGTAGAGAAAGACACTCAAATCAACCTCTGGTCTTCATATACCCATGCGTAGGTGCTTGTATCCATTCACACACACACACACACACACACACACACACACACACACACACACACGTACTACCATATAAGTAATTTTTTAATTGTTGCTATGACACAAATACCTGAAGTTGGATAGCTTTATAAAGAAAAGGGGTTTATATAACTTACAATAGTTTAACGTAGCAGCTTAAACTCTAAGGTCAGGCAGCCCCATTAGTTAGATCTTTGCTTAGAGTCTGATGGCAAATGAGATCACAGGGGAGCTATGGGCAGAAAGAGAGCATATCCAGAGAGGAGGCCAGAGAGCAGATCAGAGTCAGACTCATTCTTAAAACAACCAGGCTCCTGCGAGAACTAGTGCCTTCTAAGGGCACATGCCCAGGGACCTAAAGACCCACAGGCTCCACCCCCTGAAGATGCTACCCCTCAGCAAGATGAGGTCCATGTTTCCAATACATTAATCCTTGGAGGATGTCCTAATTTTGGCAAGCTGGCACGGCTCGAAGTCTCCTTAGAGGAAAGCCTAGAAAAGGTTGGTCTGCAGGCTTGTCCGTGGAGGCTTGTCTTGATTATTAATCTGTGCAGGAAGGTCTGCCATCCCAAGGCAAGTGGGCCTAGGCTGAATAAGAAAGCTAGCTGAGGGGTGGAGAGGTGGCTCAGAGGTTAAGAGCACTAGCTTTTCCTTCCAAGGTCCTGAGTTCAATTCCCAGTAACCACGTGGTGGCTCATAACTATCTATAGTGAGATCCAGCTCCCTCTTCTGGTACACAGGCAGAATGCTGTGAAAGAAAGAGAGAAGTGTGAACAAGCTGGCAAGCAGCATTCCTTTATGCTTTCTGTGTTAAGTTCCTCCTTGAGGTCCTGACCTGCCCCCCCCCCATGGTGGAAGTGTGAGCCACATAAGCCCTCCCCTCACCTGAGCCATTTTGGTCAGGGTGTTTCATCACAGCAACAACGTCAGAGCAGCGGACATCCTCAAACCCTAACCGCAGGAGCCACCTTGAGCCGGCTCCTTAAGCATCTAGGAGTAATTGCTCCGGGAAGTCCAGCCAGCCTTGTGTTTCTTAGCATAAGTTTTCCCAGTAGGACCTACCTGGCTATGACTGCGTTCACAGAGGCATATCGTTCCACTGGGAGTTTCTGGAGTGAAAAGTTTAATAATCAGTCTGATAAATCACATCATACATTTGTTCTAATATTAAATAGTATATTTATAATGCCTCCTATACAAAACTTGCATGGCTTTTGCAGGTAAAACATAAAACAAGAAAGAGGTTTTCCCATAGCCTACAAAGCCTACAAAGTTAGTGTCAATCTTTGATAGTTCGTTCATTTGCCTCCATCTCTGGGAACACTTTGAGGGGCAACAAAGAGAGTTTATCAGCCATAAAAAAAAAAAAAAAAACACGGCAAGCTCGTGACGATCTCTGGACCTGGAGGATCTTTATCCTATAGTGTGTGTGTGTGTGTGTGTGTGTGTGCGCGCGCGCGCGTGAGCGCGCGCGCGCACACACTGTGTATAGGATTAATCAGGAATTCAGGAAAACATCTGTATGCATACAGAAAATGATTAATGAATGTTGGGGTTTTTTTTTCCTGTAATGGTTAAAGAATGTCATGAAAATTTATATATAGTTTTATAAATTCACACGCCTGCACGTCCACACACACAACCAGGGCCTGCACAGGTCTGGTACAAACCTGAGAGAGGCGCCAAACCAGCGACCCCAAATCTCTTCAACAAATATGCTCCGACTCTAGCGCGGACTTGCTCATTTACAGTTCTCTGTGGCATGGCCACTTCAAGAAGAAAACTCTCTGACAGGCCTCAGCATTGCTGTCACCTCTTGCCCTTGGCTTTAACACCCTTACCCTGCGTCTCCAAGCCACACTCCTCACAGTTCTCCTCACTAAATCAAATAATTAGACTCAGGGAGTGGAAGCTGTGTCTTGCCAAAGGCTGCTCCAGACACAGTTTACGGAGACTGCCACCAGCCTTCTGGTCTTCTCGGTAAGATGGTAAACCCAAGTCTTGGCAGCCACCATTCCCAGGCTAGTGAACCTGATGGCCTAGTTGCAGGATGACTCGAAAAGGGCATTGCATTAGTTTCAGGGGTGGTAGTTGGGGGAAGGAGTGACATGGGCTCTGGGATCTAGCAGGTCTGGCTTTGGGACCAAGCCTGTTGCTGATTGTCATGTGGCTTTGGCAAATGCCCCATTAGTCTCTAAGTCCCAGTTTCTTCATATGAGAAGCCTCGCATGGTATTCTGGGTATTCTGAGCCTGTGGTATAATGTGTCAGAAAGCACCTGGCTCAGGGCCTGAATCAAGTGAGCTGCTTGCCAGGATTGCCTTTGAGTCTCAGTGGAGTCAGCAGGGGGATGCTGGGGCTGGTCAGCTCTCCATGACATCATCAGTGTCCCACCTCTTTCTGCTCACTCATGCTGAACGTGTTCCGGTGGTTTCGGGGTTGCCTTATGGTCACAAGATGGCTGCTTAAAATCTAGCCACCATGGTTGAGTCCTAGACTGTAAGAAGGAAGAAGGGAACGGTAGCACAGGCTTCTACATTACCAGATGACTTAAACCCCTTAAAAGATACCCTGGATGCTATAGGCAATGGTTTCTGCCTCCATCTTGTTGACTGCTTCTAGTTAGGTGGAAAGTTGGGAAATCAATTTTGTATTATATCTATCCATTTATTTATTTTGTGCATGTGAGTTTAGGTGTGCATGTGTTACAACAGAAGACAGCTTTCAGGAGTCAGTTTTTTTCCTTTTACCATGTGGATCCCAGAGACTGTACTCAGGTTGCCAGGCTCGGTAGCAGCATCTTTATCCACTGAGCCATGTTGCTGGACCCTAGAGGTTTTTGTGGTGTTTTGTTTTTCTCTTAAAATATTTAAATACTTCTGTGTCATCACACTGAGTAAGAAAAAGAAGACTTTCTCTGCATTCTCTGTGCAGCTCTCTGTGATTCTGACTTGAGCTGAGGACCCTCATCTGGGGGCCCGGGGAAGCGTATGGCGACACGCAGGGCAGGCAAGCTGGTGCACTTCATTTGCATGCCATGCCTTGGCTTGGACTTCCCAGAGCAAAGGAAGAATGCTCTGGGCCTCCCCAGCTTCCGCAGCATGGCATGGAAGTCTCCATTCAAAACCTGAGGGTCTGAAGGGCCACTGAGCTTCATGTAAGGAACCATCAGAATCTGTGAGAAACACAGATGCTGTGACATCTGCCCCATTCCCACCTCTTCCCAAGAAGCTAGATGGGATGTTCAAGGACAAGTTAAAAAGGCCTTCCTTCCCTCTGGAACTTCCAGACTAACAGACCCTCCAGTGCCAGCCTTTGGCAAAGTCTGAGGCAGTGACCAAGGACTCCCTGGCTGGAGCTGTGAACAGAGCAGAGAGCTAGGAATAAGAACAGGGAGGTTTTATCCATCTGGTAGAATCCATGGGGGCCTCCTGGAGGAGGCAGGGTTTGCCTTCCTAGCTGTCATTGGCTGAGTAGTAGGCAGAAATACCACCAAGGCAGCAGGGAAAGCCCAACCCGAGAAGGAAAGGTGTGTAATCCAGGCAGCAACAGACCTTCAGCTCTGTGAACACACAGGGTGAGGGCACGGGAGAAGTTCCAGGAGGCTTCCTGGCCAGTCCTGGGGAAGCTGTGCCCAGAAGACAAGGAGGAGATCTGGAGGAAGCTCCCCAGGCTGTTGCCTCCAGAGCAGGCAGGATGAATAAAGGGAACAGCTTCCCTCCCTCCTCCCCTTCCCCAAGCACACTGTGGGCTTTCACGGCAAGTGACAGGAGACACTGTCTCAGGGAGCCACCAAAAGCACACTTAATGTCACCAGAGCTTTGGGTCTCTCCAAAAGAAGCTATGCACACTTATTTTTATATAAAATCTCAGTAGTCAAAAATGCATTTAATCATGTGTGGATTCCATCAAAGCAGGACTGCCCACAGAGGCCTCCAGTGAGTGACACTTGGTTTGAGAAGCCAGGAGGCATCTACCAAGAGGAACTCTAGATTTTACACAATCCTGAAGCAAAAACAGAATTGAATGTTTTAATGTTTTAATCGAATGTTTAACGTAATAAAGGTACTCTCTGGTCGGAATGGGCTGATGGCAAAAATATCCTGCAAAGCTGCCTGGGTGTGACAGGCTTTGTGATTCTCTCCATCACGAGAGGTATTTGCATGAGGTATTTGCATGAGAAACAGATTTCTCCAAGGTTAGGGGCTGCTAGGCTCTGCGGCCTCCACTTCCCAATCTGTGGCCAGCCAGGGCGTTCAGTGGAGCTGCGGCAGAGCACAACAGGAAAAAAAGCATCTTCAGGTGGCCAAGAGGCAGCTGGAGCAGATGGACCCAGACAACAAGGCCACCCAGCAAATGCCTGCGATAATCAAGGATGCAGGAGGAAGGGATGAAACATTGCACTGGGCAACAGACGCCTTCTTTAAAGACGTCCCAAGAAACCCCCATGGTGACTTAATAGTAAAATATGATCATTCTCTGCTTTCCAATTTATCTGGGTGTGTTCAGTCTTTCGGATTAAATTTCACCACCTGCTAA